GAAAAGGCGAACTTCAAGAGTTCACTGGCAAAACGCGTGGTGGTTTAACCACGCCAGACAGGAGATAGGAGACACCAGGTTATGGTTTCACTGAATCCCTTTATATGTCAATGAATCCAGTATATAATATGGTAAATAATTTTGTGAACACCGCGTAACAAAAAAACTTGTGCATCATGAACGACTTAACGTAGCCTTTAAAGAAACAAATATGTTTCCTTCAATCGAAATTTTCTTCAAAAGGAGCATCTCCCTAAGTACGCGGTCTGTGGTAGCCCTACAGTCATATTTAATACACAACTCAGATGTAAGTTTCTGCAAAATTCTTTGAAGGCGTGTCAGGGGTGTAGGCCGTATTTACAAATCCTCCATCATCCTCGTCTTCATATAATCTCCTTCGACTATCTGTCGCTTGCCTCGGCGCATGCAGCGCCGCCCTATCGTCTGATCGAGGTGTGCGAGAGTCATACGGTCTTTGGTAATAGGGGGCGCTGCCAGAGCCACGGGAATAGTCACGTGGGGCACCTCGTGATCCTCCCGATGACGGCGTGTCGTAACCACGTGGTGTTTGACCCTGACCTTGTGGCGACCTATAACCACGTGGTTCGTAAGAATCTCTGTTTTGATAAGACTGGGTTCCAGACAGGGAGGCATACTGGTCACGCATGCGTGGATCTGTTTCTTGAGGAGGCCTGAAAACGAAATAGTTGTAACAATTAACCAAAATAAAAAATAATAATACAGCAATTTTGCTCATGACAAAACTTCAGCATGTACAATTTTTATCTTTTTATCCTCATCGTTTCCTTTTTCACTATTAACGAAGCAAAATGTCAGTCTGAATATTAAAGAGCAAATTACCTCTGAAGACCTTGGTACGCGTTAGGCGAAGCTGGAGAACGCTGATCTCCATAATAACCTCTGGATTGTGGCTGCGCTGAGGCCGCGTTATAACCACCATACTGATCCCGGGGTTCGGCAGGAGATCGGGAATATCTCACATCCAAGTTAGCAGGCGACATGACAATCTGGTTACCCCTTTCGGGCCTCATATTCTGACGGCTGACGTCTGTGTACGAAGGCGGGGCATACGAATCCGCAGGTGGAGAACGGGCGGCGACGCCATTGGCCACAACTTCATCTCGCGTAGCTGACCCTGGGGGGCGAGAGGGACCGTTCATCGACCTCGGGGTTCGGTTTCTCGGCGTTCTTGAGTTTGGTGTTCCATCAGCATTCGCCCCTTCCCCTTCTTTTTTCATCCAGTTGCGCGGTTTTCGCATGCTGATGCGGCGCGCTTGATTGCGACCCCACTTTTTGGAGCGACGGAAACTTTTCCTTATCAACGTGTCTGCGTCTTTGAACCCACCGACGAGGACTGAAGCAAGAGGGGCCATGTTCTGAAATAAATAAATAAATAAATAAATAAATAAATAAGTAAATAAATGCAACGTAAAAGCGCCAGCACGTATATAGCCAGAGTAGGGCCAATTAAATAGGTGATTCTCTTTATGACATCTCGACTCAGCTGATGGAGAAAAAAGCAACACATGTACAATATTTACATTTTTTTATTATTCCTTTTTCAATTTTGTTTAAGTACCTTTGCGTTGGCTGGCTCCTTGGACAGTTCCCAGTAGAAGAAACAGACACAAATAAGAGCGTATATCTGGAAATAAACGATCACGGGGTCAACAAAACCTACAGCATAATAGCACAGAAGGGGTTACTCCAAAGAAACTGGGCACAATTCTTGGTAATTTATCTGTTATTCAGTTTGTAACTATAACAGACGGCCCATTTCCTTATTTCTGAACTAAAATGACGGGCGGTGCTTAAAATTTAAATTATGCTGTTTGTGTAAGAATGAAGCTGTTAGTCATGTCCAATTTATACCGGATTTATATCACGTAAACGACAATCATAATGTTTAAAAAAACTAAAAACATCTACAACTTTAATTGTCTAGACTATTTCGTAGTTTTCACCTTTAAATTAAGGTCAACAATCTAAAAGAACACTCACGTTCAGTAGACACATAAACACAACACCAACAATGGACGGGGTTAAGTCTTCTGGATTGCCAACTTCTGTTGGGTATACTAAAAGACAGATAAACAGTAATACAGGTGAAAATAAATATAAAAAATCATCTGTTTCATAATATATCTGAAACATCCACTATGATTATTTTAGAAAAACAACATTTACTTTAAAATACTTTATTATTCATTGAAAAAAAGAGATCTTTATTTTATTAAGTTCATTTCAAAGCACTTTGTATATGTAGGCCCTAACTGAAGGATGAAAAGAAATGATTTTTATACCCCCCCCCCCCATTAAAATTAGTGACACGACATCTGGTGATTCAGCAGCCATATTAGTTTAACATGTACAAGAACAATGTTTTCGTCCATAATAAATCAACAGGGCCTCCGTTAAGATTTATTATTATCATACAAGCACACGCAATGTAGCCGTGTAGATTTTTTAAAATTTGAATTACATAAATACTCACATGATGGCAGCACCACGGCTGCACAAAGCGCCAAGACAGTCCATATCGGTTCGAATAATATCCAAGGTATCAAGAAGTATTTACTTTTCTATAAAAATTAAAGTAAATTAACACAAAAAAACTCTTACAATATATAATACATATAGCATATCATAGTTTATAGAATACACGCCAGTGAAATGCAAGTACACCAATCTACATACCCACTTAAATGAATTACGTAAATGCTTCAGTTTTTTTTTTTCAACTAAAGGCATATTTTCTTTATTAAAAACTTATGATGGTTCTTTCAACTGCTCAAAATTATGTTTATTTATGATATTCTCAGCAGAGAAAAAATTGACAAAAAGAGAAAAAGAGAGGAGGGGAGAGGAGAGGCGGAGAAAGGACAGAGGGGGGGGGGCGTAGAGAGGGGGATTACTCACCCTGGACACTCCGTTGGCCAACATCACACACCCAACCAACATCACAATGGACAAACACAGGACCGCGGTGTAAAACCCGATGTGGACGTGTGGAAACCCTGCATTAACGGTAACAGTAAAGTATACAGAAATGTCGATATGTCAGGTAGATTTTACATTTACATTTAATTTCTGTTTTAATATTTATTTCATTATGTTTTTTACCATTTCTGGACAAAATAAGCGCATAGAAGCATGTTCGCGTGATGTAAGAATATCAGACAGGCATTTTGCGTCTTTGTTTTAAACATAATTGTTTTTCTTTGTTGAAAGAGGTTTTCCTGTTAATTTATTGGTAAATTCGTGATCTACAAGTTGTGCCATTCTTAGGACTAATCTATCATTCTACTAAAAAATAATAATGCCTACTCACTCCATCGGCTGTGATATGAACCCAGTTTTTCTCCAGAAATTCCGATGAACACTAAACACACAAGCTGAAAAAATTGTAATAACGTGTATTAAAAATGAACTAATACATAAAGATTCGGAATAGTATAAAAGATGGGGAAAGAGCACTAGTTTCAGTGATAAACAGAGGAACCTAAAAGAGATGACAACGTAGAAACAATACAGTTGAAACGAAGAGAGAGAGAGAGAGAGAGAGAGAGAGAGAGAGATGAACGAGAAGGTCGACTAAGAACAAAGAGGACGAAGAATAATGAAGATGAATGAATAAAACGACAAAGAAAAAGACCCTGAAGAAGACAAGGATGGCAAAGATAACTGACTAGGAAAGAATGAAAGGCGGAAGGGAAAAAAGAGAGGTAAAAACGAGAACAATTATGAGCTGAAGAAAACCCTTACCGCTGTGTACAAGGCGCTGATAAGACTCCCCTGTGTCAAGTTCCAACAAAAGCAACATTTCTTCATCCTTTCTAAACCCATTTTTATGAATTGCTTCTATTCCGAGGACAAGTACTGATATCTTTGGTAATTATTCTATGGCTAACCTAAAATTAAATACATAAATGTACAAACAATTAAACTCATAAAGATTTTAACTTCAAGAATTAAATTACTGGAATATTTCTACAATGTGCAAACGATGACATAGTCCACAACTTTCATTCATTCGGTCTCTCTATCGGTTGGGAAGGACATCATTCTCAGGTCGCCGTCCAACAGAACGAGATTTTAAGAGGCACAAATTATTTGCCATAGCACTGCGTAGATTTTTCACACCGGCGAATTTCCCATGAAGACCATAAAAAATAATATTTTTTCTATTACATCATTAGAGCAAGATACTCTGTTTGCCAAGAAATAGCGCTATCGCTCATGTATATCTACAAGAATTTATTGCCATTCTCGATATCTAATTTGTAATAAAGAGGTAAAGCCTTGTGTGTTTTTGCTCTGAACGATGATTTAGTGCCGTCAAGGAGATCGTTGACTGCATATGACCTATAAACTGCCTGTTCAAACGTTTAAGTTATAAAGCCCCTCCAAAACACAAACGAAGAAAACGTTATGAGTACGGGTTTAATTCTATCGTTTAATGGACTACATGCTTGTGAAACTTGTCATAAAAACACTCTGAATACAATCTGGTTAGTCGGCTACAGAACAATGAAGACTGTTCTTTCAATATGTGAAAGTTTAATATCTGCTCTACTCACGGAAGGACAATCATATTTGATATAATAATACCCCTATTGTCATACACTATTTAATCTATCAGTGCAATCAAGCTCGTGAAGAAGACTTAATTAATAACTGCATAATTAATCAGTTAATGAACAGGTGGAATAATTATCCCCTCTCTCTCTCTCTCTCTCTCTCTCTCTCTCCCTCTCTCTGTGTGTGTGAAAGAGAGAGAGAGAGAGAGAGAGAGAGAGGGGGGGATAGAGGGGGGATGGACCACGAGAAAAATCCCCCAGTATACGTCCCCAAATAAGACCACTTTATAATCATTAACGGTGGTCAAGTAATCACCCAGTCTCCTCTCTGAGACTGCGGTACATCATTTAAGCCGACGCGGACTTAACGGTGACTTCACATTATTGAATTATTTATGGCACAGTAGTCAACAAATAGCGTTTCGTCAGCTGCAGTAGCCTATGTAATGTCTACAGTGGCAGACTTACTGACAGTCTGGAACCGTAATATTCAATTATTATACACACTTCAAATCGTTAATAGATTAGACTGGCGACTTCAAAACATCAAGAGGGGGGTGTGGGGGAGGCAAGTGAACAAGCAACCCCCCCCCCCCCCATATTATGGATTTGTTGCGGTTCTTGTTTAAACTCCTTAAATCCTCTTCTTGATCTTTCTCGTGAGGGTGCCAGGCATGGGAGATGAATCCGCCATTTTGTTTAAAAAAGTGTGTGTGTGTGTGTGTGTGTGTGTGTGTGNGGGGGGGGGGTACAGTTTGGCCATTAACCAGAGTGGATCTGGGGAACGAAACGTAATTAGTCCGCCGAATTATTTAACATAATATTTAACGT